TAGCCAGATACAAGCGTTCTTTTACACGCGCAGGCGGTTGGGTACTGCATGGGCCTAAACGTGCACGGTGGATATGTGCCTAATAAGCCGTGGTGGGCCCCGGTGGCAAGATAGAATGATTCCCGAACGGCGCGGCGTAGCCGCGCCAACCTTCGCATAGCTATAGGGAATTGAAAAGCGGATCTTTCGATGTATTAAGTTGGATGCACCCTGTAAGGCCGCTGACCCGGGGCAGGCAATGTCTACGGGAATCGTCCAACGCGATGCAACAATTGAGTGCTGGGCGGAGTCATACATTTCGAGATAGTTTCTTGGCAAGAAATCAATTGAAATTAGAATTATAATCAATCACATTGACAGAGGGCCAGGTCTGAACGCCAGAACAAGGAAACAATGGCCTGCTTTTCGCTCCGATTCTTGGTTTCATGAGACACTCATTTGTTCTCGTTTCGAATTTGTTGACGGCGGCGATCGCGGCAAACATGTTCTATGGACATTTCAAAGGTCAGAGTGGGTCACTGGTCACTGACCCAAATCAACATTTTATGTTAGAAACATTCTGCCCAGTGCAATCTCTGACCATCACTCAAATGGCAAATCGGAGCCATCTCTTAGGTATTTGGTCACCTTCATACGCATAAAAGCGTATTAACAGTACACAACGAGCAAGACCATACACCTGACGATCCGTCAGACCCCAGCCGTACAGCCATTCTCGTCATTCCGGTGCTCGGTTGTGCATCGCCTTGCACCGCGATGCACCGCCTCAATACGTAACTAGTCATTTTTCGTCATTCGTCATTTGCCTCCCTGCGTGAGCCCCTGTACGCTAGTTTTTCCGTGCGGATCTGATTGCGTACCATTTGGGTCTAAGGCTGGAAATTCCCTTTACATATTCCGCGGTGTTACTTCTACGGCTCATACAACTGGTGCCTCTTTGGCACGATATATGCGTGCATTGGCCTGTGGTGTCTCTGCCCTCTCCCCACCAAGCGTCTAAGCACACGCCTCAAAATTAACGGGCACGCACCATTCGCTCTCTCGTGACGCATCATGTTTAATGCCGACAGTATCATAATACTCTGGTATTTGACGGGGTGTTGCTACATACGGTCCGCTGCTAGACACCTAACGCCTACTCTGTCGCGCATCATATTTCAAGAGAATTTGCAACAAGCACCACAAAACTGCTCTCTACTGCCCTTGCCCTGAGCACACCTCCATTACTAAAGACTTCGTAAAACAGTGGAGCGAACCGTACTTACGCAAGATTTTTGCCATTTCATCCACAGTATACATTCCTGAATCATTGTTATACATCCCTCGGTTTCATTCGACGCCGGGTTCACTGCAATCTTGCCTATGCTGTCGCGACGATCGATGGCCTTGGGCGATCAGCTGATCGCTCGCGCCATTTTCGCTCGCGGCAAATCACCCGCCGTCAAGTGCGTGCACTTTGGCGGGTGTATGAAGATGTTCTAATTGGTCCGGCGGGAAGAAGTTTCAAAAGCGTCAAAAAAGCGCCACCCACCGAACCGGACTGCGGATAGATCACGACTTGGCGCATGGGTTGGTCTTTGGAGGCGGGATCTAGGTGAGGTCAAGCAAGGAGCAGGCAAATATGGAGGGAAGCGAACATATCGCCTGCCATGGCTGCAATGATAATAAAATAACAATTAGCTTGTCACGAAGCATCATTGCTGACGCCCAATGCAGCAATGACATAAAGTGCATGGCACAGCAAGAAAAGGCACTGTCGAGAAGTTTCACAATAGCACAATGCTGGCACTTTGCGCTAACGGGGACGCTTCTATCCGGAACGTAAGTCATTTGAGCTACCATGACCTGTTAGGTCGGCACTAGACCACTCCCTGACGCTAGGTCTGATGCATGACGTAGTCACCTAATCACTGAGTGGCGAAATGTATTTACATATATATATATATATATATATATATATATATATATATATATATATATATATTCGCCCGGAACCGTTTTAAAATGGTGTCCTCGAATGATTGCACCGGAGGAAACCATATTGATCTGTATGGAACCGGCAGGTAATGCTGACGGTCGAATCGCAAATAGTTCGTCTATGCTTATCATCGGTCATGATATTTCAGAGTAAACTTGCTGTTCCTCAATCATTTGGAACCATTTGCAAAAGTTTTTAAGTGCAGCAAAGTTAAGTCATGCAGTAGGATTTTAACTTTATTGCAGGCGGAGTAAGGTTTGGTAAGGTTACAAAAAAAAACGTTTGGTTGGAAAAGTGATTTTTTGACTTGTGCTAGCAGTGGCCGGAGAAACGTATCAGAAAGGTGAGGGTCGCCCAAACTTATTTTGCACTCGAACGATTAGTGCGTGCGTTGAGGCCAACGCAATACCTAACGGCCTGCAAACCTAATACGAGGCTTGTATGCGATTATGTGTATATACCGTAAACACATTGTAAAACAGAAAAAACGCTACGTTAGTACAGGAAAATGAATAAGAAAGT